AAAAAAAATCTGCCAGAGAAGGGACATTAGCAAGCTTGTCTCTGTAGCAGTGCTGGTTATCTTGGTAGTATACTTAGCTTTAGTAGTTATAGAATTATAGAGAAACAGCATCAGTGAGCTGGTTGATGCCTAAGCAAATAGATGCTCTTAACTCTTGACCCTGTATGACTCTTTAATGGCATAACTCTGTGAAGCATTTAGCCTCAACTAGAAGAGGAATGTCAGTTACACTTTACTTCCCAGAATTTAGTTTAAAATTCTGAATTCAGTGTTTTTGGATTCGTGATGATCCTCCTGCTTTCAGTCTCCTGAACACTGGTATTACAGGCATGGGCCCCCATGCCCAGACTTGGTTCAGCCCCCACTGGATGTGGGGCTGGCGTGGCATGTGGTGTTGGGGATCCAACCACAGTTCCTGCACTTGCTTAAGCTTGCCTAAGCAGGGGCTTTAGTCCGCTGTGCTATCTAGCCGGCTCTCCTTCCTTCCTTCCTTCCTTCCTTCCTTCCTTCCTTCCTTCCTTCCTTCCTTCCTTCCTTCCTTCCTTCCTCTCTTTTCGTTCCCCAAAGGGCAATTTATGTTAACTCATTTTATTTTGTAGTTTTTAAAGAGAATAAAGCAAGTGAAAAAAGAAAGAAAGCACATTAGAAATGACATAAAATTTCACTGAACTAAATAATAGGAATTCACTGGCATCACATATGAAAAGGTCCCTTAAGGACTTCTCCAAATACAGCCTCTCTAGCAACAATGAAACACCCATCTCTGATGAAACAAAACAAAAAAAGGAGATATAAATCAAGGACCATTTTGCACTGAAAAAAATATCTGTATATACAAAATATTTAGGAAAGATATATAGCTACCTTCTAGTAGTTCAATGAGAAGAAAAGTTTGTACTAACATTATTTAGACAATATATCATGTCTGCATCTTGTCCTCTGAATAACTACTATGAAGACAACAATATGCAATGCATTAATTATTGAAACTGTCCTACTAACCTGCTTTGAAACTGTCTCATTGCTATTTTTTCTCATCAAAATGAATTAAAAAATTTAAAAAAATAATAGGAATTCAGCATTGGTCGTTATGTTGCATATTGTTTTCTTCAAATTAGTTGTTTGGATTATCAGATTTTTATGAGCATGTAAAATTGGTCAAAAAGTTATAAATATTAAAAAGTAGAAAATTAGCATTGGCTGCTCTTTTCAATA